ATTCCAACTACAACTAGCCTTAAATGCAAGCTACTCAATGCAAGAAGCCTTGTAAATAAAATACCTGAATTTCTCCTCTTACTAAATATGGCTAAATTCGACATCATATTTGACTGTGAAACATGGCTCAATGCATCTCTCCCTGACTCCATTACCACAATAAGAGACTATCATGTTTACCAATCAGATCATGAAATCCGTAGAGGAGCTGGTGTTGCTATCTTCTATAAAAAGTCCCTACATCTAAAAAACATCCTAGTTACCCAGGAGCTTGCTCTTCCTGATACCATTGTCTGTGAACTGTCCTTAAATATATATTTTGATTCTTACTATGTTACAGAGCCCCTTATTATGACATCGAACATGAAACAAGTTAAATTCACTACTAACATGGGCAACATCCTGCCCATACGCTTTTATCTTTTTTGGTGACTTCAATCTACCTCATATTCACTGGACCCTAAACGAATGTACAACTGAACCCATACATACCCAAACCTAAACCATTTGGTCTGAATACTTTCCTTTTCATCAGCAATACCTACAACTCAGAGTTACAAATCAGGCAGAGTGCCAGAGCACCTTGAGGAGTAAAATAGTTAAAATGCAATGATGACTATTAGCAGCCAACCCTTGCTCATAGAGGGGAACCCTTTAGCAGAGAATTCATTTAAGCTCTTCAGAAAGTGGGTGGGCACACTTGGGCTACAAAATGCCAAGCTTAAGAGACAAATTTATGAAGTATACAGGGGGCCCAGGCTCAACTCTCTGCCCTTCCAAGCTTGTCAGGATCACAATAAAATTAGTATATATCGCATATATTTAAATAAAGTTCAAGTCTAGTGTCATGTTACTAAACCTTATTATCATGAGAGAAAACTAAAATGAATTGGAGGGAGCATCCACACCCCTATCTCCTTTTTTTAAAAAAATCTTACTATCAGTGAGTAATCATGTGCCTTGGCAACTATGAAGCAATGCAAGAGACTCCTGTCCCAAAGGTGCTTTTTCAAAAGGCAACTGGGATTTCTGAAAATCAAGAACTTGCATAACTGAAGAATTTCTATAGAGAAGAGAGTGCTCAGTGAACTGACAAAGCACCCTTTCCCATTCAGAAGTAATCCTTAGATCCATTTTCAAAATACCGGCTGATCTCACTTGCCTCAAAAGATATCCTAAGGAAATAATCCAGATTCAAGGAAAAATCACATGCCTCCATGAAGGAAATAAAAATATCAGTGCCAAGCTTGCATCCAAGAGGTAGGAAGTACACCCCAAAAGGACAGTGCCAGGAACCAGTAAAACAACCATTTCCCTTTAGGAAAGTCAAGCCCCTAATAAAAGTACCAGCAAAGAAAAAAAATGCAAGAAAAGCAGCTCTGTCTACATTAAGTCTACTTGCAAAAAACATTACCAGTTACAATGTAACAAAGCTTAATGGCAGAGGCAGTTAAAATACTTAAGCAGGGCAATAAAGATAAGGATTAGGCTAGAAACACCCACACAGGCACACCAAAATGTCTCCTTCCTGCCTTCCTGACAGGAACTCTGTAAGGTGGGAAAACAAAACACTGTTTCTTCCAACAACCAATTTGCTGAACTGCTCAAAAAGTTAGCTAACAGTTCACCGGAATCGGTGTTAACTGGC